AATATCATTCTTATCTCACTCTGACACGGAAGTACATGTTTTATTACAACATGGTAGTTTTACAGAAGATAACGTGTCTGATATATGTCAGACCAATGGTTGTGGAATTACATACAGTATTTGGTACATTTTGAGGAGAGAATATCCCTGTACGACTACAAAATATTATCGCGGATCTCGTAGAAGATTCTTACTTGCCGATTTTATATCCATTCATTTGTATATCAAAGTGTGGCATGCACGTGTTTTTTTTATATAAATTGTATTGTATTGTGCATTGTATTATATACACTTGCCGCACAAATGCTAAGGGAATTCCCCTCGCTCCTTTCTTTACTACTAAAGTTTTACTGAATAGGATCTTACCACTATTTTACATAATATAGATTTATTTTGAAATAGACCAAATACATCGTTGCATTTTAATTGCATATTATTAAAACCTCGGAAAATATCAGACAGAAAGGATAACAATCAAAGCAAAGTTCAGAAATGGTATGAAAGTGAGCGTGAGTGCGACATGGCCAATGTTTTGGAATCCGGAGAGAAAAACACAACGGATAAACTTCACTTGTTAGTGTGATACTACGTCTTAGAATTAACATAAAATTTAAGAATTTTAAACTTGGCCAATAAGAGCCAGTAGATATACCTGGTGTCATAAATAACATAACAGGATCCTAGTAATTATCCATGAATATGCAATTAACTGTATTTCTTGACAGTCTAAAAATAAAGTCTGTCTAAAAATATAATTGTTTTGGAATTGAAATTAAACAGACAATGACATTTGAATGAATTATCCCTAGACGAATAGAGCAGTTAAATAATTGACATATTTACCATTTTATGCTCAGAATGTGGACCATCTTTTAAAAACGAAATGAATTTATCTATTACTATTATCATCTGATAAACCTGAATTTCAAGAGTTCGCATCATAACTTTTCAGAATGCCCATCTGACGCTTAGTTTGTGGATAATAAAATAACTGATTTGAATGTATGTTAATCAGTCCATATTAAGCTTTTAAATAACAGAAGAAGTTCAGTGGAACATATTCGGGTAAACATTTTGGTTTCAGAAACCACCTCTTCAAATGGACATAACAGTCTCAAACTTGGTCAATAAGTATATTTATTCATGTGTTGGACGATATATCTATTAAACTAAATAATTATTGTAACACGCTTCTAAACATGTTTAAAAATTACTCAGTTTAATGAAGTATGACTCAGTTTTATGGATTTATTGGATTATAGAGAGATTCTGTTGTATAGGTATGACACCAGCTAAGTCCACTGATGAACAAAGACATATTTTAACCAAGTTTTTAACAATTCAATTTGTTGGTCATCCCAAGAATAAGTATATCTTTAAAGTACTTTAAATGACGTAAATAGTAATAATTCAAATGGTTAAAGTTGTAGTATGAAGGTGGTAGTTATTTTAGTTCGTGGCCTGATGAATGTTAAAAAAGAAAATAACTTTTGGATTATTGATCACATATTTTTGTGTCTCCCCGTTTTATCTTTCGCTTCTTTTTAACAATTTTTTTTTGTATAAAGGCTGCTTAGTTAATTATTCATACTGCTTATTTATTTCTCTTGGCTGGTTATGTTTTTTCTTAGACAGCTAAGTTATTTAGTATATATTTTTTTTATTTATTTTTCTTATATTTCATGATTATTGCAACCATTTATATACGACTGCAGTTCAATTCATAAAAAAGTCGAATACTTTGAATCACAAGTAGACCTCCGCCCACCTTTAAAGATAACTCCACAAGTGAAAATCGAAAAGAGAAGTTAAAGCAAGTTTCTTAGCAAAAAATTCCACGATTCAACACACACACTAATACTAGTTCAAAATGGAGTACAAATGTAAAACCCGAATTCACACGAATTTCACAGCATGTCATCGTTAATTGGAAACAACTTTTGACGTGCACTGTACTTCTATATGCAAGTATCAAATCGCAAACTCTTAACTTGGACATTATGGATTTTCGGCTTGTGTGTGTAAATTATGTCCTATTTATTTCTTGTCCATGATGCCAGAACAAACTACAGATCAACAAATATGTGCCTAGAGCAATATTGAATTGCTATTTTCTCTTCACTTATAGATTGCATTTAGTTGAGAGAAATATATTTTAAATAAGAAAAAAAATGAAAGACAAAGAAAGATGGTGTTGAAAAGAAGGAAGAATGTGACTTTAGAAAATGGTTTACAAGAGGTTTTTGCTCTCTGATAACTATGATTATTAAAACTGATTGCTCAAATCAATAAGGCTCCGCGTTTGCCTCGCGGGATTATCAACGAATGGTAGTTTTCATAGCAATTTACTGCGGACTTTCCTTCTCCTCTTTCCGGTTTATATTTCCTTCTAACTACCAATTTTCTCTGATTGCTGTAGAAGAAAAATGGAACATATAGCGTCTGTACATTTAAAATCCTACTGTCAATTTTACGGGGAATATAATTCTTTGATTTTTATCAATGTACATAAATAAATTAGCTTATGTAGGAGTTAAAATAATTCTGTTTTTATGTGAACATTTCTTAATTCTGCATGTGAACAACATTTAAAAGGTCAAATCAACAGCTTCCGCCGACTAATTTTCCATATTATTTCATATCGTAATTCTAGATTACAAATTTATCCCCCTACAATATCACACCCAAGTTGTTTACGATCCATGTTTAAATCAAATCTGACAAAAGTTTTCATTTGTTTCAATTGAACTCACATAGCTAAACAGCTATCGTTGATGTCTTTACTGGAAAAACTACTACTGTCCAACAACATTGCATTATGCCGATTATTTTTGTATCAATTGAAATACCATCTCAAATTATATTGAAATTCAAAGATTGTTTTCGGGTTGATGACAATGAAAAAGACATGAAATATGAGCGCCTATTCACTTTTAACTTCAGGGAGGGAAGTGTGTTTATTTCATATGAAAATTAACCAAACCAGTAGACATTCAAAGACAAATGGCATTCAAATGAAATAATCGGACATTTTTTGAGATTGTCAAAATGTTCGTGTAAGAATTAACGATTTGTAACGTCATGACATTCTTTTGTTCCGCATCATCTTCGAAATAAACTTCGTGATTATTCGTTGATTAACATTTTCTGGAATCCACCCGAGACCATTTCAAAACAGATCATCCCACTCTATTATAACATTGTTCGTCTTAATCGTATTGTTCTCAATTTAATGAGGATTATTCAAGGAATTGTTTACTTTTTTAAATTTAACATCTGGCCATCCCACAGAAAAACTAAAAGACTATTGATATAGACATTTGAGAATAGAATGAATAGCGACATTCTTAGACATAATTCCTATAACAATGAATGCTTTCAGGGATCAATGACCAAACAGCATATTATAAGCCGATTACAAAATTATTGAGAAGTGAAAAACATTCTTATAAATAACAATCCGTGCTTGGAATTACTATGCATAAAATTGATAATCTTTGTCTTTTTAAGCGTTCATTGATAGAGTTTAATAACTTTTACGTCATGTGTGGTAAAGCGACCTTAACGACATTGCAATACAGGGCACTTGATTTGTTAATAAAAGAATGAAATAAAAATTTAAGTGAAAAACATTCCTATGCTTGGAATTACTATGAATAATATTTATAACCTTTGTCCTCTTTTTAGCGTTAAAGATGGGTTCCCGTATTTTCAATTATGAAAATGCTAATACTTATATGAATAGAAAGTAGTGTTCTAATGACTTGGAAAAATACCAGTTTGTCTCACATATGTCTATAAATAATCCATAATTAGCTAAATTAGAAGAGAATTACCAACAGAATTTCAATGAGTGTCCGATCAAGAAAAGTCAATAAGTATTTTTTTGTTTATCCAGACTGTTCATACCTGAACATTTATGATTTGTTAAAATTCTTAATCATATGCAATAAGATCATTATGATATGATTAACAATTACATGATAATTCATTAGACACCTATTAATCAAATATTTAATTTGACACCAAAAAATAAGGAAAACCTTTAAATGAGGGAGTTTAGATATTACGTGTGATATAGCAATGTTAGTGACCAAGTGGTTTCTGTCAAAAAAAGCTTGTTAATATCTGAATCAAATTTGAAGATTTTTCGATATTTCTTTTCAATTCTTTTGAATTAAATGTAAACTATATTAGTGTTATTTATGAATTAGTCAATTCTCCGATGAGATGTGAACAAGACCTACAATTCGGGAGATACAAAAGACTATTATATTATTTCTAAATCTTAAGTTACATGTATTATCCTTGTAAAATATGGTTATACAACCAGAACATATCGTAATGTGGCCTAATTTGAAAACAAGGATATTGTGACTGCGTATACAGTCTTTGGTAAATATTATCAAAGAATAACAAGGAGTCGCGACATCATTTCTTACGCACTCGCTCTAGCGGATTGTGAAATTTTATCAATATTTTTTTCTCCATCCTTCCCAGAAATTTACTTTGAAATTGGCAACTCGCTGTTTCGTATTATGCACAAATTGTACATAGGTTGTGTTCGACAACGCTTGAAATATTTTGACAATTCTTTGTTTATAATTGTGTCTGAGAATGTAATATTTCACACTAAAACAATAATAGTGAAACAATACGCGCAAATTCGTGCCACGCCTACACTTACTGCCGAACGGAAACTCGCGATGGCTTACGAACAGCACAGAACCTTGCGTTGGCAAGCTAGCAACAGCAACGTATTGTAAAATAGTGTTTCACAATATATACGCTGGAGCAAACTTGAAACACTGAAACACGTGAAAGCAAACTAGCAACACAGATGCACATGGTGGCAAATGAGCAACACAGAAACACGTGGTGGCAAACAAGAAACAGACACACACAGTGACAAACTAGCAACAGACACACGCAATGGCAAAAGAGCAACAGATACACACACGGGGGAAAAATTAGCAACAGATACCTACAGTGACAGACTAGCAACAAATTCACACAGTGGGGGACTAGCAACAGATACACACAGTGGCAGACTTGCAACAGATACACACAGTAGCAGACTAGCAACAGATTCACACAGTGGCAGACTAGCAACAGATACACACAGTGGCAGACTAGCAACAGATACACACAGTGGCAGACTAGCAACAGATACACACAGTGGCAGACTAGCAACAGATACACGCAGTGACAGACTAGCAACAGATACACACAGTGGCAGACTAGCAACAGATACCCACAGTGACAGACTAGCAACAGATTCACACAGTGGCAGACTACCAACAGATAAACACAGTGGCAGACTAGCAACAGATACACACAGTGGCAGACTAGCAACAGATACACACAGTGGCAGAATAGCAACAGATACACACAGTGGCAGACTAGCAACAGATACACACAGAGGGAGACTAGCAACAGATACACACAGTGGCAGACTAGCAACAGATACACACAGTGTCAGACTAGCAACAGATACACACTGTGGTATTGTGTATCAAACTCGACCAGTTAATGATGATGACATCGTCGCAGCTTTTGAAGGAATGGTCTTCTGGGTACATATACAAATACTAAATGTGTATTAAATCTCTTTCAACATTAATTTTTAAAAACGATTATCTGATAAACTGGTCAGTTTACCCAATTATTATCAGTTGTTGATGCACTTTAATATCATTTCTGTACAGGTGTGTCAACACGCCGCTACTTAATAAAACTTGTTAGAATTCTCCATAATGTATGTTAGTATTTAATAGACAGATGAGATGTTGATCAATGATATAAAAGATTGATTCAGTTGACTACAAGAGTCTTTTTTGTAATTTCTAAATTATCTTCATTATCAATTCCACTTGAACGTAACCATCTCGAAGGTTTAAAGGCGTCGTACCAAGTGTCCATTTATCGTCAGCTCAAATGTATAATGGAGTATGACTTCCTAGTAAAAAGCAGATAAGGCTGTAAAATGACGGACAACACCATGCAGTGTGCAATGGATCAATTCTATCGAGAGGGCATAGACTACTCTTTCGATTTTCTACTGCCGAGGGATCCGCATGTAGTGAACGGAGATTCAGTTTATTTACCAAAACCAACGATATGCTGCTTTTCCCCATGTCAGTCCCTCCTACCTGTACCACTGAGCGGTAAACCGGGTTGATATACTACAAGGTGTTATCTCGAGCATGACTGGAAGCACAACTTGTATCATTAGGTTAGCAAACAAGCGTCTAACTCGCTTATAAATCGTGGGTTCTCGATATCTTAAGTACAATGGACAATGGCAGGGAAATGAGGCTGAAATAACACAACGAAAAGTATAAAAAAAAACTTTGTTAAATTTGTAAGTAGTTTCATTATTTACTCGTTAAATTTCCATTAATATTAAATGTATCATTTTTACGATTCTTGCGTACTATAGTACTACAGTATACGTATTTCAATTTTTCATTCCTGTTTAATTCTGTCTCTTTTTTCCTGACTTCATTTGAAATCCTGATATTCGTGCAATAAATCAACAGCAAAATTAGATTCTTATTTTTTATAGATTAATAAATAAATCAAGGCTATTGGCTGCATTATTTGTAAATTGACATTATTTGACTTTCAAATTCTTCGTATAACTATCAAATTTATACCTTCACCTTTACTAATAATACAAAATTAAAAATCTAGAGCAAATTCCTCATAAATTACATGAGTCTTGAGCCTTTTTCTCCTTCTAGACGATTGATATAAATGTAAGACATTAACTTCTTAAATAGAAATATATAAATTGAATGAAAATAGAACAGTTTCTTTTCTGATTTTTCAGATATTTTGCAACTCGATGAGAGGCGGTGTATATGACGTAGGTCTACATTGTCATTCAGATACACAATGGTCTATGCTGATCTCGCATGCCCTTGGTTAACTTTCACCCTTTTTATCTTTTATATGTTAATCAAAGAAAGGAAATTGATATAACTGTTGATTTTTGACAGTAAGTGTGTTGTTACACCAGTTCAAGAGTGTCAATTTATTAGATTTGAGCTATGAATCCAAAATCCTATTAAATTTGAGCGGTGTCGCTAGATGGTTGTGCTCTCATCTGGTCTTCCTAAATAATTAATAACCACCAGAGGCCAGATATACAGTTAGTAAGTTTTGTCAGAGGCCAAGTTTCGAAAATAATACATATCTGAGTCCCTGTATAGGTTACTGTCAGTAGGTTTCTGTAGACTACTACATAAAATGCTACCGGAAGTCAAATGTAGAGTCAGCAATTATCCGCCGTGAATAACAGCTATCGGAGACTAAATACACAATACATGCATAAACCTCTGTCAATAATAACAAGCTGGGTCCCAATATACAGGACAAGTTTTGGACTTGATTATCTACAGCAATATGACCATACTGATAATATCAACAGGATAGCGGTCATTATATCTGTCCGTATAATTGAAACGAGTTAAGGAGGTTGTATTTAGAGCTGGAGAGAGAAAACTCAATTAGTGTTAAGATCAAGGTATACAACCTCTATCAAACACGAGTTGACAGTGATCAAATGCTTTTAAAGCATCTCACTACATTATGAGGACAAAACAAGTCAGTTACTATTCCAGATACATATTATCCTGCTCTATATTTCTTTATTTCAATAAATAACCCCGAGTGTATGGTCTGAATAGAAATTTAAAATGAAATGAATGGAATTTTACGGCCTATTTTTCTGCATCTGATTAGTAAAAAGATGGGGAATATTTCCAGGACAGCGGCTTTAGCTTTTCGATTTCAATCTTAAACTTACACAGCTGGTAGCACAAAGAGCCTCGGTTTCTTGTCCCATTCGAACGACTAGACTCTTTTTCCATCCATAGGTCAATCTCAGGATGTAATCTTGGACCTTCAGGTAATCAAGCAAGCTTCTAGCTCACTGAACCAATTGAAACTTTACTGTAGATTTGATCTTATCAATTTGATTTGAGAATTTCTTGCAATTTAAATGATGTCATATTTTTGTATTCAAGAAAACTTAATGTACCATTTTAGATATTATTGATAGCTAAGTTATGCTTTTTATTCAATTGATAATAACAGTGTAACTATAAGCACGATGTATCAAGAGAATCCATGCCAGGTTTCAAAAGAAATGATCTCCAGAAATAGTTCCAATTTCATTTTTTCTTTCTTTTGTTCCAACCTTCACATCCAAAACTATGTCTTAAAGTGATTTGAAACGATTAACTTTTATCAATTTTAAAAACAAATTAAGAGTTAGCCTATATATAAAAACCTCCTACTTTCGTAAACATTTTAATTTGCTCAATAATTGTGAAATAACTTAGAGCAGTTGTATTTAAGTTTGAAGAATAAGACGAAGAACGAGAGTATAATAGAACTAATACTTCAAGTGCCGGTGGATATCGTAGCATTATAATTGTACATTCAATCGGGATTCCATTTCATTAAATAACATAAGGAGGAAAGGTATTAGTTGATATTTCATCCCAAGCCTTGTGAAATCAAGCTGAAATCCACGCTCACTTCGGGCAATATTGCAATAACATCCTAAAAAACCCAAACGTTAGATATTTATAACATTGGTTTTTTTTTTTTAATATTCTAACCTCTGTGGTTTAGTTGATCTAGGATTACAATATACTAGGGAAGGCTGAAAAGTCCTATGCCTAAGTGGGATATATCAATCGTAATGAAAAACATTAATTAAATGACAGACGCGGGAATTGCAACTGTAGTGTTATCATAAAGATGTCGGATTACGCAGAATGTCGGAATACTCAGATGTAGGATATAAAAAAAGTACACTATATTATATTTTAGGGTGGCTGAAAAAATTTCTTTTCAACCGGTATCCGCGCCTTGCAGCATATCTTGCAAAAACCTGTTAACCTGAAAGGAGACTATATTGAGACATAGGATATGCGTTAACCTGGAGGGGGACTATGTAACTGTGTTCTTTCATACTTTAAACTTTACAACCAACCTTCATATAATGTCTTACGTTGTGTTATTGTGATTTCAGAAAAAGGCAAGGGGCCATAATCGTGAATGGCATAAATATGATCGTCTCTTCATATCAATCAATCAATCCGGATTGTGAAACGTAATTCCTGACAGGGATGGATGTACTATCAGTGCAGGGTTCTCTATTTTTACCCAGTAATCGGTTAATTTGTGTATTACGGTAGTGTATGATTGAGAAGATACCATACTCACAGTGGCTAAACTATAGAAGCGTTTAGTCTCAGAAACGAGATTTTTATTTTAGCTAAGCCAATCAGTAATAGTGTTCACAGCTCACCATCGAAATTTGAGCCTTCAAAACCACGTGTGTCCAGAATTATCCGTGTATGAATGTTAAAATGATGACTCTGTAGAAAAGACCTATGTATATAGTAATACATGTAGAGAGTAAAATTTCTAGATTTTCATACATTTCAACATATCCTCTCCTGTATTGTTCTTGCACCCTTACGGGTGGGGACCCGTGGGTTTGGTTCAACCAGCCTACTCATTTCGTTAGCTACGTTTAGACAGTTTAACCTTAGAAAACGCGTTTTCTCTTCATGTGATTTCTGAAGGTGCTAACAAGCGATAGTTCTTTCTTCGAAACACAAATGCAACTTAATCTGGTGGGCAGTAAAATTTGACTATCAGTAGTAACTTCTTTATTTTGATTTCATATAAAATAAATGGGCAGAAATTGTAAGGAATTTAGCGATAGTAGACCTAGTTAAAAATTTCATTTATACATGTATGTAATATGAAAATGATAAGAATTTGTATAACAAAATAAAACATTCAAATTTGGGAGTGTTATAAGCAACTTAAAAATCTGGACTACCTTTTGAGGAATCTCATTGAATTTTAAACATGCTGTCATTTCTACGTTACTAAAGACGTGTTATATGTATAATTAAGATGTCAAAATATTATGATCATAGCGTTCATATTTTATGAATAATCCTGAAATGAAAAATGTTATCGTTTTTTCTGGATCACCCGATATATTGCTCTATATACTTCAATTATATTCCTTTAAGTTTCCATTTGAAATTATATACACATATAAACGTCGTGATGAGTAAATAAGGGCGAGGATGGGGAATAATTGAGAAATATGTCATTAAAAATAATGTAACGCCATATTTCAATTAATCAAAATGGTCCTTTTAGGATATTTAGTATAAAACTTGCAACCACAGTTTTTAAAGAAATGGGGAGCAGATTGGGCAATGTATAATCAAATAAGAAATGAATTTATGCAAAGATTTGATTACAACAATAATGTCTACTATAACATTCACGTTTTAAACGACACTTAACGACTCTTAAGTAACCTTTAGAATGTCAAGGAGCCATTCAGGCCTGTTGACAATATAGGGTAAGCGCTTTACTTCCTCATGGTTTAAATGAACCCGTAAAATGTCGTTTAAGGACAAGTTGTGCGAAGAGTCAGATTTATCCACGAGAT